AGGAAAAATGATACAAAACATTACATGGAAGGAAAGCTGTGTTCAGAGGGGGAGAGGACAAAGGGGGTCTGGGAGTAAGAGAGTCTAATGTTGGGGGGCGGAGGGGACATGGAGTCCAAAGAGTGCCTCAGAGTATAAAAAGAGACAAAAAGCAGAGAGAAAGAGTTACAGTTTAAGGAAAGAAACAGCTAGTTTAAGAATGCTGGAGGCTCCCTGGCCAAGGACATTTTGTGAAGAACCGAGCTCCAAATTCAAAGCAGTAAGTAGCAGACAGCAAGAACTGCATGCCAAATAAAGCCTATAAAATTTACTCTAATGTCAACACAGCAGGTCTTGAATTATATGTCTATAAAAATCAGGTTTTAAAGTAGTAATTAAAAACAGAACAGCGTAAGGGCTTGGGTTTAAAAAATCATAAACACAGTATAATTTCCACTTTGCTCCATGTATTAAATCTTACCTTGTTTTTACCAAATTTGTTGGGAGATTAAAACCCTACTTCATTTTTCTTCCAAAACTGGACAGAAAGCAGAGTATCAAGTGAGTCCCTGTGTTTACTGCAGTACTTCTCAACACTTTGCATTGTGCCCTGTTGGTACGTTCTTGTTCAATGTATACAATTTACGGTTGCTCATTCAAATACCGGTTTCTCCACCCCACTCTCTGGTTTCAATCAGGACATTGCATCGTGACGTTTATTCCAGGCATCACCTGCCTCAAGTCTGTGTAATCATGCCACCATTTGTTTCCTGTATTTTCAATTAAACAACCAGCCAATGCTGTGCAATGGAGAGAATAGGGTGGGACATCCTGGTCTGGAGAGGAGGAGAAGGAGGCAAGTTGAAGGGGTTGGAGGAGAGATTGGCAGGAGAGGACTTGGTACCAGGAGGAGAGATGAACCAGACCTACGTTATGAAAAGCAAGTATAATGGGTGAAATCTGGAGGGCAGGAAACTGTGCGGGTGTGGAGGTTTAGGATGGAGTAATCATTGCCCAGCATTCTAGGTTAATTAAATACATCCTAGTCTTGGTGTGGTGATTTGGTTATATAGCTGGTTTAGGAATAACTGACATTTAACTTTTAAAAGATAAATCAATGATAAATATTAATAATCAACAACAGTGCCCCTTTGTTACTAAGAATCTAATAGAAAGGAGTGCGTGTAAGAGACTCCAGACAAACAGGAAACCGAAGAGAGGCAAACACTCATCAGGCAAAGAGTGAAGGAAATTCCATGAAGCCTGCTGCACACCAGCCGCAGCAGGCAAAATGAGCAAACTAAAGCCATTTGTTTATTATTTTTTTAAAGATTTATTATTTGTTATGTGTACAGTATTCTGCCTGCACGTGTGCCTACAGGCCAGAAGAGGGCAGCAGATCTCATTAGAGATGGTTATGAGCCACCGTGTGCTTGCTGGGAACTGAACTCAGAGAACTGGAAGAGCAGCCAGTGCTCTTCACTACTGAGCCATCTCTCCAGCCCCTCAAGAAGCACTCTTTAAGATAAGTTAAGCTGAGAACATCACCGCCAGCTGTGTAACTACACAGATGGTAATCATGTATCTGGCCAACCCAGTTAATACCAGAAAAAGAAGACATGGTGAAAAAATCTATCACATCCAGCTGTGAATACCGGCTATAAAGTCTGAAGCCAACAATGAAGAGTGGGAAGTGAAGAAGGTGGAGGCGGGCCTGGCCTAAGAGCACGAGCAAGGTGCAATGCCGGGAGAAAGGGTTTCTATTTAGAATCAGCAAATCAAAGCCTAAAGTTAAAAAACCAAGTAAAAGCAATATAAACCTTATTTTCAGTAATAAAAGAACAAAGCATGGCAGCTAAGAGTTAAAATTGCTAGTTGTAGGAACAGGAAGAGGTAGAAAAACTCAAAATAGTAGAAAATTCAAAATTTGACTTTTTAAACTATGTAATACGTAACTTAATTTAAAAATAGAAAAAAAATTCTGGAATACAGTCAAGCCCCTAAAATTCCATAATTGTCATTGTTTTATTATAATGAAAAGACAAATGATTTTTTTCATTTTAGTATTATATTTATGCAGGGGATAACAATACTTCATCTATTAGAAATGCTACAAGATTTTTTATGCTGTGTATAATTAAGCATGGTCAACAAAATTAAAAAACACTATTATGGAGTAATTTTACACAACTTATACACAATTTTTATTGTAATGAAACGACATCATTCTCCTTGCTATGTAACAGTAACGAGGCTACCTCCTGAAGACATGTGCCACAGCCATATAATAGATTCCCTCATCGGTATGACGGTCTTGGTATCTTAATATATTTTGTTCCCAATTTAAGTCTATTTAGTCAATAAAAACAAATGATGAACAAAAGACTCATACGAAGGAAATAAAAAAATAACCAATAATGTCCTATCAACCTCATTTGTAAGGAAAGAAATACAAGTTTAAAATCTGAAATCACCTTTTGGTTGTACAGACCGATACAGGGAAAAACAAACAAGCAAGCAAGCCGATCTTCAGATAACACAAGCAAGGAACAGCTACAGGTGATCAGTCACACAGTGGCGCTCACACATGACTACAAGTATAAACTGCAGCTTTTCAGGAATACAGTAATACATAGCACACCTGTTTTTTAAAACCCTCTCAACAGTCATTCTACTGTTCTACTTCTAGTCTGTAGGACACAAGCATGTCTCTCAGTGGCACAGAATTTTCACTGTAGCACTGCTTACAGTAATGATACAGTTAAAACCCCCAACATGGAAGTGAGGATATGATGGCACATTTTCTTCTCCCAAGCTGGGCTTAGCTTTTCCTTTCCAGTAGTTTACTTTTGATAGTGGTGATGGAACCTTTGGGGACTTATTTTTATCACTGATAAAACAAATGTCACAAGTTTATGAAGACATAAACCTGGAAGTCCCGCTACCAGCCTGTGTTACTGCAGTCAAGGTAAAGTAATGCTGACAACAGAAAGCTGCTTGGCTTTATATTCATATCATGTGACAGGATCTTAGAACCACTAAGTCTATACAGAAACAGTGATGAAAAGCAGATGTATTTTCCTAAAACTACAAAACATATCTTTGCATTTTTTAAAAGTTATTACGGATTCGTTTGCAACAAAAGTTTCTGGAAGGTTAACCCAAGTTTTAGAGTAGTCCTCTGAAAAACAAGGTGAAAATATTTCCTTCAGCATGTTTACACTTTATTTTTTCTCTCTAAAATGCGTATTTATCACTGGAAGATTCTGTCATCCTTTTTATTAATCACAATTTTGGACAGGAAGAAGTAAACATTCAAAAGAGCCACTGAACTGTAAATCTGCTCTTAAAAAGCATTTGGGTCTTTAAAAATGTTTTGTTAAATAAAATTTGATCACATCAGGCAATTTATACTGGTGAATACAGAAGATCACCCTTTCCATTTCTTTTCCTTACTTGGGGAATCCTATCATGACTTTGTACCATTTCGTATTAGAATTTCTTCTGTGAAACAAAAACAGTCCCAAAATGAAGGATCCTCAGGTGTCATAGGAACAGCAGATGCTATTAAATCATTGAAGTTAAGAATGGTAAATTGCCTCTGGGATGGCTTAGAATCATCTTGATATGAAACCTAAAAGAAAAAACAAACAAGATTATCATATTTTTATATTCTGTATTAACTATATGATCAATTTTATAGTTATGAAATGATTTCTGCTCATTAGTATTAAGGCACAGTACAATTTCTACAATATCATTTTTACTTCTTACACTAGTGTTGTTAATAAAAAGAGTAAAGCATAAATATGTTCAAGTTATGGATAGCCTATATTTTTAAAAAAAGATTTAATGAGATCCTATATGCAGAAAGTCCAACTCAGTAGACATACATAAGGCAAATCCAAGTATTTGTAATTTCAGTAAGCAGCAGAGTGCCCCAGCAGGAATTCTGAAACACTGCTGAAGTGTGGGCCTGCTATAAATCTGCTGCAACTACACAGGAATGGCACTTCTGCAGGAGATTATTACTGAGCACCGACAAGGTACCCAACTTCTTGTGACAAGCTGATCAAACCAGACACGCTAACAACGCTGTATAGAATTGCCTTCAGGGTGGATGTAGATGGTATGTGTAAAATTATAAATAAAGCCCATGTTTAACACTGGGCTCCAACTCCAAAAATCATTTTGTATATGTATGTGTGTTTAATATTACAAAATCTGATACAATCTGAAATCCAAGGCATTTCAGATAAGGGCTAGTCAATTTGCACTGATCAATACTTGAGCTTTACACACTATCTTAACAAAGTTATTGCCATGGTATCTATCTAGATCATGCTATAATATGGTTACTTCAATTTCTCAGGACAGGAAATGAGGCTCAGGAGGACCACACTGTTTGCACCAGTTTACCACATATGTCAAGTGGAAAGTTAAGTTTAGAACTGGTCTCCCCACCACACACTGGTGCAGCAGGCTCTAGTCCAAGAGGCAGCAGTACTGAAAGTACACACATTTAGCGATGGTGCAATGGCAGCTCGACAGTTACAGGGGGACCCAACTGCTATGAATATGAGGCCTTTCATGCCTGTACCGAAAAACTGGTCAACAGCTCACAACCGGGCCCTAAGGGAAGAACCTACTATTGTTGTAGTAGATTCTCATGCAATCAAACTGCCTTCTCTTACGTTACTACCCACAGATCTCTGCTGCTCTCACCTTTGGTCAGAGGAGGGGCTTTCTGTAATGGTAACAACCAGGAGACTGACCGCTGCTCATGTGCACAATATCATAAACAACAGCAAGTGTTCTTTCTGGATTAACTTCCTGTCCCCCAAGGCCCAGAGAACATCAACAAAGAGTGGACAAAAAGAATTTAAGAGCTGGTGCTGTAAAGGAATTTTAATTCAGCAGCATGGCTACTCTGTCTGGAATACAAACATGCCTTTAATCCCAGGAGACAAAGGCAAGCACATCTCCGAGTTCAAGGCCAGCCTGGTATAGAGCAAGTTTCATGTGGGAAATGTCAAGGTAAGCCTTTTGGCAGCCCATAGGGAATGGCAAGTGAAGCATCCTCAAAAGGTCCTGATCCACTGCACAGAGCGCTGATCTATGAGGGACTCCTTAGCACACTAGTGAAGTCTAGGACGGTGAGTGCTTCCTCCTTCTTTACAGAAGTCTCCTAAGGTGACCTTGCTCCCCACATCTCCTTATAGTCCACCACTGTTACTGGTGCTCGAGGCTAGCATGGATGGTCTGGTTGGCCTTTCAATCATTTAAAGGTTGTCACAGTGGACAATAAAGTTAGATCTGCACCTTTGAGTCTGACTCCCCAGATTCTGCGTGGGCTCTGTCGCCACTCATACCCTGCCCCTGTGGGGATCGTTTCCTGATCCCCACAGTTTCAGGTAACAAAAAGCTTAGGTCTAGGCTCGCTGGCACGTCTTTAATCCCGGCACTCAGAAGACAGAGGCATGCAGCTCTCTGAGTTCTAGTCAGTTCTGTAGGCAGTTCAGTTGAGTCAGTGCAGTTAAGCTGAGTTCATGGCAGCTCAAGTTCATGGATTTCAGAGGCAGTTTTACTGGGAGAGTTCACAGAGAGGTTAAAGAGAGAGCAACTAGATGCAGATGAAGACAGAACGAGCCAGAGAAAGAGAAGGAGCCAGAAGAGTAGAACAGATTGCTAGAGTTAGTTTTAGGCCAGAGCAGCCGTGTTGAACCACCCAGCAGAGAGCTCAGAAAGAACAAGAAAGGGGGAGCTTATTCAGCAGCAAGGCTGAGAGGCTGACAACATTCTAGGCCTTACTAAGATTGTTTGGAGGCTAGAAGCTTCCAGGACGGAGGCCTCCAAGATGACTAGACAGTTGAAGAAGATACTTTTACAAGTACATGATGAGGACATCTATGGAATACTGACTTCGGGACATGACAGTGTTGTACACATCAACTCATAGTAGCTATGGTTACCTGCACAAGAGTTGCACAAAATTAAGCACATTAAAATTCCTACAGTACTAAGAGGACACCCTGCCCTTACTTGGGGGTTGGGGGAGCCAATCTACTCTGAGTATATGGCTGCCAGTAAGACGGCTCACGAGAGTGGATGTCCCATATGAGCAGCACTGCTTGGACTTGAGTTTATCAGTAACAGCAGCACCCTGACATACGCGAAGCTGGGAGGGGCAGAGTGGGAAGCTGCATCGAGAGGTAATGAAGGGGTACGCTCAAAGTACACTGTGTAAGCACTTAACAGTCTCAAAATCAATCCATTGTTAAAACAAAAACTGTAAACACATACCCAAAAAGGTATCCAAGGGAGCATGAGGCTGAGATGTTAAGAGTAAGAGGAATAAAACAAACCACACCACCTCCCTTTAGGTATCGATTCTAACATGCTAATATTTAAGACATCTATGAAAAAATTCAGTACTTATAAAAGAAAGGGTCTGTGGCCTACATTGTTTTTCTAGAAGTAGTGAGGAATGTGTATACACATACATATACATATGTCCCATTTGCATTTCATAAAAACAAAGGCATCACGTTTTATTAACATAGTCCATAAATAACTCACTCCCAGACCTGCCCTGCTCCCTGAGTCTGCACTCTGTACACTATGCACTACGCACACTGTGCACACAGAACGGCACTATATGCACACCTGGTGTTTCCCTCATTTACCAAATAACAAGTAAAGACAGCTACAAGATGAAGACCACGATCGAAAGAACACGAGTGAGACAATTTACGTCCCAATATGACACATGGCCTCGTATAAACTCTGGGAGCAGTTCACAAGATGAGGAGTAAGTGTAATTTGTAAGGTAATTCCGGTATTCATCAACCTTCAACCTGGTACCTGTACATTCAATACAGCCCTAACTCACCTAGAGATACACGAGTGTTAAAACTAAGATATTGATGAGAATGAATCTCTACTGGAAATATAACAGTACCATCAACATTTTCCTTTGTAACATGTAAGGGTATCTAAATATGAAGACGATAACATGATCTTGTGAAGTTTTTTTTTTGTTAGTTCTGTGTGTGTGACATACCAGATAATCTTAAAATATTTAATAAAAACCCTGTAAACAGTAAGCTCACAAAACAAACAAAACCCATTATGACCTCTGACCCTAACCTGATAGAAGGTAAACTACAATTTTCATTAATAAAACCAAAAGCATTGATTCATTCCTATTTTTTAGAAAGTCTTAGAAAAACAAAATCTTACATTTTGATGTCTAGATCCATCAGGTTTCCTAAGAGCCACTGCAACAAAATGGTGTTCATCTATTTTGCTTTCCTAAAAAAAAAAAAACAAAAGATAAATAAACTCAGATTCTAAACATAAATTTCAACATATATATATATATATATATATTTATATAGATATAAAAAATATATATATATATTTTACATTTTCTAAATCTCATTGACTTTCTACACAACGCTGCACACACTCTCTCACTTCTCCTGGAATCACATAGTGTGAAAACAGGATTAAGCATTTCATGCTAACAAAGTATACATCTTGTTAGTCTCTACTATGACAGTGAACTGGCTAGCTCTGCCAACTTAACACAAGCTGGAGTCACCAGAATGGAGGAAGCGCCTCAACTGAGAAAACACCTCCAGAAGACAGACAAGCCTGCAGCGCATTCTCGTTAGTAACAGATGTGAGAGGGCCCAGCCTGTTGGGAGTACCATCACTGGGCCAGTGGTTCTGGGTTCTAAAAGGGGGCCGAGCAAGCCACAGGGAGCAAGCCAGAGAGCAGCATCCCTCCATGGCTTCTGTATTAGCTTCTGTCTCCAGGTTTCAGCCTTGCTTGAGTTCCTGTCCTGACTTCTTTTGTCATGGACTAAGATGCGGAGATGAAAGCCAAATAAACCCTTTTCTCCCCAACTGGCTTTTGGTCATGGTGTTTCACCATAGCAATAGTAACCCTAACTGGGATAAACAGTAACATTTTAAAACACAAGTCCCAACTCCTCTTATTAATACAATACTGCTCATTTCTGGATTGAAGAATTTTTGTAGTTTTTTAAGACAAGGCCTCGCCATTGTCACTGCCTGGCCTGGCACTCCCTATATCTACAGCAGGCTGGCCTCCAGTTCAGAGAGCCCATCCTGAATGCTGAAATTGAAGGCAAGCACCACCATGTCTTGCAAGGACTGAAGACTTTTACGTACTCTGAACCTATACAGGCTCACAACAGACATTCTTCTTGTAAATTTCAGGAACACTCTAAATTATTTTCACATATATGAATAAATATGGAAAGGCTTAGCTATAATAACTGTAATAAATTTCTTACCTCAAAGGCCCATTCTTTTTCTTCTTCCCCATCCAAAAACAAACGTGTTTCCTTATAAACCTGGCCTATATCCAAGTTTAATGGAGATATGTCAAATTCAAGCCGTTGCATTTCAAATCCCAATCCAACACCAATGGCTTTTATGAAGCTTTCTTTCAGTGCCTAAGAGCGACAGAGACATTTTGCTTCTCGAGAATTCGATAACTAAAACTTTTCAGAACATTTACAGAAACACTGGCGCTGTTTACAGCCCTAAGGTTGTAAAGATTTTGTTTTGTCCTTTCCATCATAACAGCATTGAAAACAAGTCATCTCAGCGGTGTTCCGGAAATCATTTAAGATGTCTCAGCTGCAAACTATGTGACCCAACAGCGCCACCCTCAACAGGCTGCCAAGAGAATCAACCACATTACAAAGACCCTGAAGTGACACCTTCTGTTAAATAAGGTACGAATGAGCTTAAGAAATAATCTATTATTATGAATGATAAATAAAACTTTAGTTTTAAAAGTAAGCCGCCTTCTCATTGTATACTACAGATTAAAAGTTCTCAAAATAAATGCAATAATGTAAAAGAGATAAACAACAACAAAAACAAGTTCTCAAGAAATTGCACATTTATAACAAGCACTGTATGTCACCATGTCTTTCAATCTTATTTCTAGTAAAGACAATGGAGCGACTACAGATTATCATTGTCGAAATTATAAAGAGATTATACCCAATGGCGGTAAAACATATCCAGCTGAGTCCATTCATCACTAAAACTTCTGATTGTGTCCCATTCCTTGTTGGTAAACTTTCTTTTCATAATATGAAAGAATTCTGGAATTGAACCACGACCTGTCAAATCAAGAGAACACAGAATTAAAAAAGGAAAATAAAAAAATTAAAAAGCTATCGTATCACTGAAACTATTGAAGATTACACAAAAAGGAGAGCTAATTTATTCAGAAAACAATCCTAAGTAAGGGCTGGAATGTAGCTAGGTGGTAGAGGGCTTCTAAGCATGTGCAAGGCCCTGGATGAAATTCCTATTACTGTAAATGAACAAAAACAACAAAAGAGATACTGTTACATAAAATATCAGCACATGAAAGTCAGCTAGAAATTAAAGAGTAAGTCACCATGACAAGCATGGGTTAGCCTAAAAGAAGCAGTTTAACAGGAATTTATGAATTGTGAATTAAATAATTAGGCAGAAAACCCCTAGTTTTAAAAAGATGTCTTAAAATCCTTAATACTTGGCAGTCAAACTTGTTTTAAAATGTAAACAACTAAAAGAAAATTTCTTATATATGATAAAATACTTTTCAGAAATTCCCAACAAATTCTCCATTTCATATTTGGGTATAAATTTTGACCCTGCTACATGGGGGGGGGGGGCGCGGGGGGGGACTGTTTTATAACAGCCTGTAACAGAAGGTAGTTAAATAATGTATACTGTTTTAAGTTCCTACTACTGAAAACAACAAAGTCAATATATGCTATATGCACACTCAGGTGGCTGAGGCAGGAACGCCTGCAGCAGCCAAATACCTCTCCTGTAGGAAGTCAGGGAAGGAAACATTATAGATCAGCTCTTGGGAACTTCAACAGTTGTTCCACTTCAAGAGTCAGGTTCTTTTTGCGTAACCCAGAAATATATACTTGAGATCATAACAATGATTTTCACTGTGATTTTGGAAGTGTTACCATTTGTGGCCAAGGATGGATCAAAGCTCATTTTTACTTTACTGAGAATTCATGGAAGCCTCCCAATAAAAATGATCTCATTCACTGTTTTGGGTACCTACTACCTTGATAACTTCCTAGAGAAAGCCTTAAAAGAGAGTTAAGGGGCTGAGGAGATAATGGTTAGTTTGCTAAGAAAGCATGGGGATCTGTGCTCGGATCCTCAGCACCCATAAAAGTTGGTCTAGCCGCTGCTAGTAGTGTCTGTAACCCTAGTACTAGAAGGGGAACTTGTTAGGGCAAGAGAGGGAGAAGCTGATATCCAGAGCTAACTCACCAGCATCCAGGTTCAATGACAAACTATGTCACAAAACATTAAGGAAGGTACACAGAAGAAAGAACCTAACGACAACCTCTGGCCTCCAAATTCACACAGCCACACCCACAAAATTAAAAAGATAAACTGTTCTTGCATAACTAGTATATATGAAATCAAGAGGAGGAACATCTTAACTTGGATGTGATATTTCATACTTTAAGAAACTAGTTTGAATGGAGTAATAAAGAAAACTAAGTTTAAGCCTGTTTTACCTGCAACGTTATTCTGCCTGGTGATTTTTTTAAGCTTTCTGCTTATAACCTATAAGAACTCCTTTAATTTTTACCTAAACATACAGCCATCAAAGAAAAAAAAATAGATGTAAAACCAATTGACATAACTCATTATTTATGGCTAAAAAAAATACAGGTGAGTATACTTTCCTATATGTTTAAGCACAAAATAAACAGCAAGCAGAGCTGACGCTATACATGCTCAACTAAAGGACAGCAGCACCAGTGTGTGGGAGGACAGGGGATGCCAATGGCAAACCGTCTACTTCATTCCAGTTTACATAGAAAATGAAAAGAAAAACTATTAGAAAATCCCAGTAGAAAACAAATTAGTCCCTCAAAATAGCAGCATAATTATTGCACATACACACAGGTGAATTCTTAACATAATTTGTATACAGTTATGTCTACTGCAATCTACTAACATTAAATATTAAAATCATAGGTGCATACATACATAAATGTGGCTGTACAGCCTGGCAATACCAGTGCCAGGGAGGAGGGGGAGTGCAGGCTACGGCTCACACTGGTTACCTAGCCTAGCTTAGTCAGTGAGCCACAAGTGTTTAAAAGACCCCGTTTCAAGGAGGCGGGTGGCATTTCTGAGGATGACATCTGCTATTTTGTCCTCTGGCCTCCACACATAATACCAGCACCACAAACACACATAAACTAGAACCAAGACAGTAAATTATCCATTCTTCATAAAGAATATGTGAGTTATTGAAGGGAGAGTTGAACAATGTCTAACTGAAGGCAATAAAAGACCAGGCTGGGCAGGAAACAATGCTCAAAGAAAACAAAACAAAACAAAACAAAACAAAAAAAAGAGAAATGGTAGATGCCTGAGAATAGAAAGCAGGAAAGAACAAGATAGCAGGATTATATTCAAGAGTTTGAATTCATTTTAAAAACTGGTGTCCATATCTCAAAAGATCACTCAGCTCTAGCTGGAGAATAGTTAGGAATGAGTAACAATACTGCAGAAGTAAGGTGGTTGGAAGAGACAAGAAAGAAGCTCTGCCCTCTTTCGCAATACCCAAGCCTAATTTACACCAACTACACTTAATTTACACTGACAATGCAACAGCTCCCCTGGAAAGCAATTCCATAATAAAGTCTATTTTGGGGGGAGGGTGTCAGACAAGGCCTTGCAATATAGTTCAGGATGGACTTGAACTCATCATCCTTGTTTCTACAAAATGCTGGGAATACAGCAGTGTGTGTCACTACACTTAGCAATGGTGTAAAATTTACTTGAGTTAATTAAAATTAGTATTGCCTCTCAAAATATTGTTTTTACTGTGTCAATTACTGTCCAAGATATTTTATAACAGAAACATAAACATGAAATTACAAAACCATGCAAACAGAATTCTTACTATTTCCCAACCTAAAAATCAATTTGATACTGAGCATGCTTACTTTGTAAATACTGATAACTGAACAAATCATAAAACTATACCTTCCTCACACCTAAAATCACAAACATCTTTAATAGTAAAAGTGAGGGGGAAAACTTGACCAGTCAAACAATATTCTCAAGCATTAGGAATGTACACTATTGGTAACTTGTGCTAAGATCCATAGCCTAAATCTATTGGGAAAGGAGCTGTACTTCGCTGACATGGCTCAGGTAATAAGGAAAATGACTCACCATGTTCCTACACGACATTTCTATGAACATAATGTGGATAAAAGAATTGTCTCCTATGTCAGGCTAATGACACTCCTCTGTGCTGTCTCAAGAGTTAATGATGCTTAGTTCAGACTACCCCCTACTACCCAAAGTTCCACCTCCCATCTTTCAGCAAGACTGAGGACCATTCCTTGATCAACCACTTCACTTATCCTGAGCTAATAAATCGCCAGTGAAGCAAACTGCCGTTTACTTCTCAGTTTCACTATGAAAGGATGACGCCTCCAGTCACAGTTTGAAAACCAGTGGAATGGTAAAGACATTAGTCCCAAATGAATGCATCTCTTCCTTTATGTTACTGGTCATATAATAAGCTTTGAGCCAATGAAACTAGAAAAGGGAAGGAAAAGGCTTTAATCACAATTGCTGGGGCTCAAAGGTTTAATAAAGCATTAACAAGAGAAAGAATCTCTGGTATCTGCTCAACTACCTTCCCACCATTAAAAACTTCAATTAGTAATGACTTTCCTATTCAGTGTTGACCACAGTCAGCACTGCACAAATTGATTATAAAAGGTGTGGCAGGCAGACACTGTCTAATCGTGTTGTCTTCTTCCTAAGTGTCTAATGACCTCCTCACTAAGTTCTAGTTACAGGAAAAGCTCATATGAATTTTCCCCAGAGCTATAAACCCATGGGGACTGTCACTCCCGGTCATCCTGACTCCTCTGCATAGAATAAGCCTTCTATAATACCTGGTCCTTTTATTGGGGCTGTGTTTCAGTAAGGTTTGTTACCTTCAAAATTCATGTTCCAATTTAATTGCCAATACAACAGCCTTGCAAGGACAAATGGGTACCACCTTCATGAATAATTCATTATCCCAGTCCTCAAGTATTTCCCTGAACTTTGTGATTCAGCCTCGGGTATTTTAGAGCAGGAATAGAAAACAAAAATACTAAGAAAGTTTAATGTGCATACCTCTAGAGAAAATGTAGCCCACAATTTAAGGAGGTTACAAGGTGCAGTACTGCAGAATCTACTCTATCTATAGGTAAGGGTTAATGTTAAAGGAAACACATTCTTTTCAGTTAAATGCTTTGTCAGCTAAATTAAGCATGGCATGCACTTGTATTTATGTCTCCTGGTCTACAACTGTCTAATAGTTAAGATCTGCGACATAAACCACTTAACTGACAAATCATAAAAATGTACCATCACCTGGAAAACTAGTCTTCATTATATCAACGCCAACTTGCAGCTCAGGTTCTGCAGCAAGAACTGCATAGTCCCCTTGATGAGAGATGTTAAAGTTGAAGTTGGGGTAGGGATTCATCGAGTCCTTTGCAAGAACCGGCTTTCCTTTCGAAGTTCTTTGCAGACGAATATGATCCCAAGGGATATTCAATTTCTCTGCAACTAATTTCCTTATCATCAGACGACCGGCCTGTTGAGACACATTAAAGGTAAGGTACGTACTGATACCTACTAATCTCTTATGAACTGCTTATAACGGATACTCTGCCGTCTCTACGCTTTTAACTTTTAAAGTATGTATGTATACACATATACACACACACATATATATTACACATTCGTTAGTAAACAAGCGATTACCCCGTAGGCTCTGCCTCCAAATTTAGGCGACGGGTTTGCACTGGCAGCTTCACGGGGGAGGGGCTAGTGGGCACACCGCCCAGGGTACACAGGCGGAAGCAGGTCGCCCGGACTCGGAGCCCCCCGCCGCCCGGCCCGCCTCCCCAAAGCCCACAGGCCTCAAGTACCATGGCGGCCTTGGCGTCGCGCGCAAACACGAACTGGCCGATGCGCTCCTTCTCCTCGGGCTGGATCGACCGCACCGCCAGCAGCCACTCGGCTCGGCTTGGCAGCCAGGTGCCGCAGGAGAAGGCCCAGCGAACGCCCTCCATGGACGGCACCACGCACAACCTCTTGGCGGGGAACACCATGCGCCTCGGCAGGACAGTCACTCCTCGGGCCCGACGGTGCGGACGCTGACGTGGCCACGCCCCTTCGCCCCAGCGTCTGCGCCAAGAAGCTGGGCGCCGGCTTGTGACGTATCAACGGCCCCACCCCCGCCCTAGCCCCGCCCCTATCGCTCGTAGGGGCGTGGCCTGGCCCTGCTCCGCCCCCAACGGAGGGCTCCTCCGGCTGTGGGAGGAGAAAGCATCCGCTCGGAGCTCTGCGGCACAGCGTGACGTTTTGGGAGCGTGGCTCGGGAGCCTCGGAAAGCGCGGGAACAAGCCGCAGCACCCCGAGGCCGCTCGCCCTGCAGGGAGAACCGACGGGACATTTGCACAAGCCAATCGCAGCCGCAGCTCTGCGGGCCGGGCCTAGGTGGAGACCTAGCGGACTGCGCTTGCGGGTGGGTGAGCCGTGGGTGAGCTGTGGGTGAGCCGTGGGTGAGCTGTGGGGAAGGGGAGGGTTTGGAGCCTGCTGCGCGGTCAGGCTCCTGCAACCCTCGGCTGCGGCGCGGCTCGGGGCGCTGCGGAGGGGAAGGGTCCGAAGGGAGGAGCCTGCTGCCCCGGGAGCTGTACATCGCGGCGGCCGGGAGGTGACCCCTCCCTGCCTGCCGCTTGCAGACGGACTCTGCGGACCTCCCTGCCCAGCCCGGGCCGGCCGAGAGCAGTCTTGGCGCAGGCCCTTCTAAGCTCAGCCGAGCCTGCATGGCTTCTGCGCACCGTCAGGCCCCATGCTCAGACTTACTGCAAAGTCACACTGGTTGTTTGTGTGGATGGAAGTTGCTGGCTCTTCTGGGAACGTCCATTTGAACAAAGTCGCCGGCGAGTTAGAGTCCAGGGAAAAGTTGATCTCTGCAGATTAATATGGATTCCGCACTTGACAGTAGATAGATTTCATGCTGATTCAGCCTGTCCCATTCTTCCTAAGGCTGCCAGGAAGGATCTGGAAAGGCCAGCAGAAATCTAATCTTCACAACCACTGACCATCAGTTCTATACTCCTTGAGATGGCTTTAGTCTAATCCGTACTTATTCCCATTATCATTTTCGGGATATGACACACCCCTCAAGTCTTCCGCAAGTACATGGCAAGTACATGAGTACACACTTACACACAGATATTGCTCTCTTGATGTGGCGTCTTACCTGTTAAAAGCGTGAGTGAGGTGCTGTTTCAGGTAGAAAGACTGCGGAGAGCTCACAATGTGGCCGACTGTCTGCAGGACACAGGAAAAGCTACAGTAAGCAATGTGAGGATGAACGGATGAAGCAAGGAAGTACCAATGCTCATATCAGCAAGTACAAGAATTCAGCCTTCTGCTTTGCATCTTATGTCATTAAGCATTCAATTCTAGTGTCTCTTTCCAAGTGTTTTTAATGGTGGTATGGTGACATGGGCCAGGGCAGGTAGAGTAGGACAAAACAGAAACACGACTCGTTTCATGATGACTGGAGGAGATGGTATGGCAGAGTATTGTGAAACATGTTTTTCTGAAATAAGGAGCAGAAAAATACAGTGGTGGACATGGGAGAATAAGTCAAGGGATGGCGACTTTTTTGTTTGATGTCTATTTAAGGATGAGGGTACTGGAATTTGCATGTTATGGAAAGTGTCTAGCAGAGAAGGAGAAATTGTTAGTGTGTATGTGCCCGAGAGAGGGGTCTGATCACCATTCCAGCAATCACTCCACAGTGATGATGCTTTTTGCCATGTCATTGAGCTGGACATACAGCTTATTAAAGCTAGTGTCTGGCTGCCACTGTCCTGTGTATTTAGAATAGTTGCCTTCCGCCATAATAGCTACTCTGTAAATGTTCTAACTTATGTCACTTATGAACTAGAAAATAGTTGAAAAGTGGAAATAACATCAAATCACTGCCACATTAGAAGTTGGTGGTTCTTGATTTGAAATCACAGCTCTTTTCTCTGCTTTGCACATCTCTGTCTTCTGGGAACTGTGCTGGCCTCCTGTAATTTTCTAAAACCAAAGGACTCCTTCTTCTCTTTATGTAATTTCTCCTACCAATGATTTACGTTCTTGTCATTTAGGTCTCAACAACACATCCTCAAAAAGACTGGTATTATAGTGGATGAGGGCAAGGCCTCCAGAGGCAGCCTATCTGGCTTCACATTCCAGCTCCCCATGGTACTCACTATATGTGACCATAGGCAAGGTACCTAAGTTAGCAAAACTTCATTTCCCCATCTAGGAAATAGAGGTAGCAGTATTTGCTTTATATAAGTAGCTAGAGGATTTAAATAGAATAACAAAGCATGCAGGACAGGGGGCAGCACATCCTCCCTAGATGTTAGTGAACACAAAAAGAAGAAATTCAGAAAGTGTAGCTGTATGTCTACCATTTTCTCCAAAGCAGCTCTCGTTACTGTTTGGTGCTTGTGGTGGCTATTTTTGGTTGTCATCTTGACTATCTGGAATGAACTACAGTCCAGAAATGGAGGAGACACCCATGAGAGATCTTGTGCTTGCTTTGAAGTGGGTGAATCCACTTCTATCCAGACCTTTGAGGTCAGAAGATGCACACCTTTGATCCAGATTTTGAGGCAGGAAGGCATAAGCCTTTGCTCCAAATCCTAAGTTGAGAAGGCATACCTTTAATACTGACAGGCCATACCTCCTGCTGGAAGTCTACATACAGACATAGAAGGGAGCTTTTGCTCTTTGCCCACTTGCTCTTTCTTTGATAGCACATCCATTTCTTCACTGGCATTGGAGCTCACTTCTTTGGGATTCCAATATACACAGAAGACTAGCAACATATCCAGCCTTGTGGGACTGAGAAATTACTAGATTCTTGGACTTTCTGTTCATAGCTAGCCATTGTTGGCTTAGCTGGACTGCAGCCTATAAGTCATTCATGGAATATAATATAGATATTTATTCCATAAGTTATATGTGACTCTAGAGAACCCTGACTAGTACAATACTTTTGTATAACTAACTACTATAATAAACTTCTGGGGCTGGAGAGATGTCTCAGTGGTTAAGAGCATTGTCTGCTCTTCCAGAGGTCCTAAGTTCAATTCCCAGCAACCACATGGTGGCTCAAAACCATCTACATTGGAGTCTGATGACCTCTTCTGGCGTGCAGGTGTACATACAGAAAGAGCACTCATATACATTAAATAAATAAAAATTAAAAAAAAAATAAACTCCCTATTTGGAGATCAATGACTAGAGGCTGTCATGAAATGAAGTCCAGCTGAGGTAGAACCCAGCCCCACCTTAGTTTAATTTACGTTTTCAGGTAGCATATGGATTGATGTCATTACTTTATACAAGGATTTGTTATTAGGCCTAGTTCTTGAGCTATTAGGTTTTTTAACTGATTTTTGCATTTTCAATATAGTCCATGTTTTGAAGTCACTTCCATGAACACTTGGCATGTGTGTTCCTCTGCATGGTAGTTAGTGATGAAGGAATTACGTAGAGAGAATACATGGATTAATGTGGAATCAGGCTTAGGCAAAATGTGGCAGCTCACTCCTATGATCCTAGTACATAAGAGATGGAGGTAAAGGATTGCTAACTAAAGGCCAGCTTGCCATATATGGTGAATTATCAAATGCCTCTGGCTGTTCCTTAACCATATTGTAGAGTGCTAATATCAGTAGATTCTCTTTTCTTTTTTTTTTTTAATGTATTTACTTATTATTTATAATATTCTGCCTGCAAGCCAGAAGAGGGCACCAGATTTCACTATAGTTGGTTATGAGCCACTATGTGGTTGCTGGGAATCGAACTCAGGACCTTTGGAATAACAGCTGTAGTGCCTAGTTTGGGAGACCCCAAAGACCACCAGGAATTGACTCCGATGCAAGCACAAGAAGGTTTATTGAATACCTTGAGCTCGGGGAGCAAAGCTCCCTGGCACAGTAGGAGAGGAATACAGCCCAGAGGTCTAGAGGAACAAGGTTTTTAAAGGGCAAAACCACAAGCAGGGGCTCCAAGCTTTGGGTAGTGGGTTAACTTAAGGTGCCATGACCATAAAACTGTTCTGGCCTGGCTGTCTAGAGAGTATTTGATCATGAGTAAGGATTAACTGTTGCTAGGGAAGGTCAGTTAGCACTTTCTGTGGTCACAAGCTAGGGGCCATCTCGGTGGGTTGACAGGAAATGATATCTCTTAAGTGCAGGAAGGAGTGTGGTTGAGCCTGATTATTCCCTGCAGCAGGCCAGACATGTCTTAATTAACCCAGTCCTTTGTCTAAACTTTTACTGACTGAAGTCCTAATTTTAAACTTTGGACCTCTCATTCCCCCCTTTTTAAAGAGGATACTGTCTTGAATCCTCGAGAAATGTCCAAATCATTTGCCTGGGGGGCAGTGCTATCAATATATAATTTCAGCCTGCTAGGTGGGATCAGGACCGAAGGCCTCTTCTTCTGTATCTGCTTCAGTGTTGATCATGGGGCTGTCGACATCAAGGGTTAGGAAGGCAGAAATGGCTGGTTGATCCTGCTGGAGGGGCAGAGGACAATCCAGGTGGCTATCAGCAAATCCATCAGCTTGCATAGATGATTTCTGGGTGGGTTCCATTAAGTGAAAACCTATTAGACTAAACACAGACTAGAAACAGGAATAGAGTTATTTATTGGTGGGAAGGAGAGTTCATAGGCTGGTATTGTTTTCGTCAATGGCTGTCCAGTCCTTGGTACTGTGACCATAATACCATCAACTGAATGGTACTTAGCCTCTGCTTAGTGTAAGCCATTAACTTGTTTAGCAGGCATGGCCCAAGAGTGACCAGCAGCAGTAGGATAATAAGAGGGCCTAAGAGAGTGGATATCAGAGTTGTTAACCAAGGGTACATATTAAACCAAGATTCAAACCATCCTGATCTGGCTTCTCTTCCTCTGCATCTCTTTTCCAGATCTTCTCTAACTTTGGGAGTGTCTAGAATTGTTCCCACGCAAATCCCACTTCCAGAGACCAGTTGGAGAGTGAGTCTGGCTTGTGGGGGTTGATGCCATCTGCAGCTGGTCATATCTGCAGCAGGAGTATAGTCACTAATGACTGCCATTGCCTCGTAGAAGGGGGCCCGTGAGTCATAACATAGCCAACAGGACTCAGTGAGGTCTGGGAGAGTCCTGTTCAGAGCTACATATGTGTTCAGCATCAATTCCCACAGGGGTTCGGACTGGGGTTCCAGGAAAAGCCCCTTATCTTGGTTAGGTTTTGGAGAAGGGGCAGGTGGGAGTTTGGGGCCCCCTGCTGTTTGGAGTGCCTTCGTGGTGATTGAGTTAAAGGGGGGAGGCTGTAAGACAGTGTTAGGGCCAATAGCCTTGGGGGTCCCTTCAGAAAGAAGCAATCTATTCCCCCATGCTTTCCTGCTTTCCAAAGGTGCAGCCAGAGATTTTTCCCTTACAGCCAATGGGTATAAGCTC